TTCCGGGCAATCTTATTTTCGTGTTGTCGGAATGCGACGCGACGCGACGTGGACGAAAATAAAAGGCAAACAAAGCTCGACCAGCGTTGCTTGTCCGCGTAATTAAAGCGAAGCTCGTTCGTGTGTGCCCGTGTATGCATATCCAAGGAAATCGATCTACAGTTACACGGAGGAAGGATGGAAGGACTGTTGCCAGGAGTCCGGTGAAACTTTGAGCTCTACTTACACCGTCAATCAACCAATCAGGCGGCAGGATTGCAAAGTTAAATCCTACTTAAATTTTAAGTAAGAGGGTTCAGCGGCGGCTTCACGCCAGAGAATGTACGCGCGAGCTTCGAACGGCGAGCCGATAATCGCGCTACGAAAATGCCATTCTTCTTCCTCTACAATCCCTTCGGCCCTCTTACCTCCTTCTATCGATCTTTCCACCTATCTACAGCGTCCTGAACGCGTTTTAAATGTATCTCCTCTCGGAGGTAATCTGACAAATGCTAGCTACTGATGCTTCCCGCGTTCGCCACCAGATGGTCGTTCGCCAATTTCCTTTCTCGCTAGTCCTCACTCGTGGAATCGTCCACTATTGCTATAAAATGGAACTGTTTCCTTTTCTTTCAACAGTATTTTATAGTAGCACCTTTGACGAAAAGTCAAAGTATCCGGAAGTAGCTTTCTATATCATTCGTATCCTCGTAAAAGTGTTTAAATCCACGTTTATTACCGAGCTGGTTATCGTCGCCGAACCCTTCTCTTTCGAAGGAGCGTATATCGATTTGATTTATGTAGCGACACGCTCTGCCAACCAAACCAACCGACAGCTCGCGGGTCTGACGCTGATACGAGGAGCCAAGGTGCAGCCGATAATGGGGACAAACGTAATGGCGAAAGGATCGTTCGATGCATTATCCGTCTTTGCTGCTATTCGCGACTATCGGAACGCAATAATCGACCGTCTCTACCTATCTACTGGCTTTACGAATTCAATCGTCCTTAAACGACCTTACTCCTCGGAATTCCACCGTGATGTTATTACTTTTTCTCTGAATACCCTCATCGCTTTATCGGATTAGAGGATCCTGGGATATGGAAGAGTTTTCCATATTCGTTAACAAATTCGTTCCAACTAACACTTTTAATAAAACTATAAAAGCTGGTCCACCCCCACCCATCCAAAAAATAAAAATTGTACACGCTTTTTCGTCAATTTCTCTTCGCAAATGACGTTCCGCGCGTGTCACGCTAACAATTGGACACAACAAATGATACAGTTTCAGCAGGCTACGGGCGTGAATTTCAGGTCGAGCGGGCATCGACAATGAAACAAATCCGAACGAAAGGGTTTTCGATCCGTTCGTTAGCATTCATTACGCCGGAAACGAACTAGCGAGCGACGAAGAATTGCTACATGGACTGATTTCATTAATCATAAGCATCGAGGGAGAGAGGGCGGGAGATATTCCCGATAGAGGAAAATGAAAGCGCACGTTCTGTCACAGTCTACGATCGCATCCTGTGCCAAGTGCTAAATATACGGTGTGCCCGTGGCGTGTTCTACACCGGGGACCCCTGAACATACGGTTCACAATGCATCAAATTGCATCTGGCTTTGTACAGTCGTCACGCGTGTTACGCCTCGGTTCGATTGTTCGATAGTACAGGAAACAAGCTGCGTTACCAGTCACCTGCCCTCCGCTCCTGCCCTTCCGCTCAATTTTCTGACCTTTTCCTTCTTTTTCTTTTTTTTCTTTTTTTATGTATCGCATGATTACCCGCACCTATGCCATCTACCAACCAGACAGTACGCCCTTTCTCATTTTTAAACGAATATACCGTTAATAAAAGCAGATGTCGAAAGAAAATAATTATAATATAAATCCGGTGAAAGAACAAAAAATGTTAACGTTCGTTTCGAATTATACGAAATAAAAAAGACGCGTATCTACCGCGAAATCCCGCGTCTCTCCGCCCCCGATCCTCTTAACAACGTTATTTGCCTGCACTTTGAAAACTACGGGAACGACTATTTGCGAAAATAAAGTTTAACGCGAAACGAGAGTTCGCAACAAACAACGATAGATAGAGGAACGAATAACGTTGCATGTTAACGCTGCTACGATCGTTTATTCGCGTATCGACGTGAAAAAAATATTCTCGTAACGAACAATAACGAGAACACCGAAGTACATGGAACACAAAGCAGGAAGAATTCTTACTTTATCCGACGATTGCTTCGCTGCAACGTAATCTCGACACGCGTTTAACAACGCAATTTATATGCGCCCTAGTGCATTTACATGTAAAAGAAACGAACAGCTACACCATCGGCTAAAAGTCTAGAACGAACTCTCTATAAAAATATAAAACATTATTCAGCCCCCTTCTGCTGAAACTTTATGCTTTTAAATTATCCTTTATGATTTATCGTAGAATTTAATTTTAATACTTTTGCTGACTAGTGTGTGTATGCAACAAACCCTTCGCTTTACACAGTCTACAAGTACGGCACAGAGGAACGGTTTTTCTTCACGATTTCAGATGAAATATCGTGTTTGCCGTTCCAGATTAATGCACGGGAGGACGGCTACAGATTGCGGTTGGCGTTAAAAGATTTCCCGCGAAAACGGCGACATCTACGAGGACCGTGGTGGAAGCGAAAATAACCTTAAATTACATAATGGCAACTCGCTCGTCGATTCATTGCGTATTCACCGGATACCATTTCACTCATCGTTTCGCGGGAATAATTTATCGTGCTTCGATTTAAATATACATGATATTTCGTGATATATAGAATTCGCTTTAAAGGTAAACGCCTAGGAACCAAACCTCTACGTTGCCGCCATTTTGATCGTATTTTTGAAACGGATATCGTACAAGTCTCTCTGCAATTTTACGGGTGAAATTAATGAAATATGATAACAAGTATATTTCACTGAGATATTTTTGAAAATAATCGAAAATGTAATACGTAAACTTGTAACAATTTGTACTTGAAGCAACGTGTTTATATGGAACAATATCCAATTTTCTGGTGCCATTCGCAACGGGAATCATTAAGCCAGCTAAATATTAATTTTCGTTCGTTCCATGGCAGCGAGAATGAAAAACAAATTCAGATAAATGAACAGGCGTTCGTTAGGAATTCCTTCATTTTTTTTTTAATTTTATTCTCTCTTTTGTCGAAGCGAAAAATAGAAAGCAAATAATGTTTGTTTTTGCGAGCACAGTGTCGCCTTGCTCGGCGTACCGTTGTCTAATATAATTTTGAAAAAGCACAGAGTATTCGTTTGTTCGATTTTGAACAAATTTCACTCGTATTTCCTTCCTCGCGATACCACGATATTTCCGATTAAACGAACATTGCCTCTGTTACAATACTGAAACACCCGATACACGCTGCTCTTTTTGTTTTACTTTATTTTATTTTTTTTTGTTTTTTTCGTGCGTATCGCGTAATCGATGAGATACTCGCTTTAACACGAGCAAAGCGTGCCGTAAAAGTATATGAACCGATAAACGCGCTACGATGTTTACGTAGCAGGGAACTTTACGTGAAATTAAATCGACAACGAGCCACTTAACCGCCCAACATTATCGCCACGATTCTTGAAATTGCAATCTCGCATCCATTCAAGAAAGTATCAATAGAGCTTCCGGCTGAAAAACCCTCCTCTTAGATTTTTTTTACAAAAATTTAATTTGCATTGAATTCGAATGATTTCAAAGGAAATAACAGAACGGTGGACAATTATGTAAAGGCACCCATTTCATTCTCTCTAGTATTCAACGCGTTCAGCCACAAACAAACCTAACCTAACCTAACCGAGATCAGATAATATGCATCAGTCAATTGCTGCAATATCTACCTATCTCTCTCGGTTAGGACAGTTTATAAAGGAATACTATTGTATACGAGGACAGCTCGAAAAGTCAGAGGAGGATTCGGTCGATAACCTCTTTCGACCTTCACGACAAATCCGCTGCTTATTTACCCGTTCGTTCCGCGACCCATTCCACTTGACTCGTTTTTTAAGTTCCAAGAGGCGCCGAAACTTTGTAGACGGATACATTCGGAAAAGACGAGAAGCAAGTTGGACAGTTTATCCGATTCTCGATTATCGGTGCTAGCGAGAGAAAAGAGACAGAGAGACGCGTCTTTCCGGGATCCTCTTTTCATTTTCTTTCACGAACAAGGCTTCAACCGTTCCGAACTCAAACCGAACTCCTCGAACGATTTTCATCAGAGAGGTAAGTTTGCCGGATGGACTATGGGGGTGAGAAGAAAGAGGATTCGTTCGCCAGGACACGCGTCAGGTTTTTCTCGAAAGTGGAAAGTTTAGTGCGTGGACGGGATTAAAAAGCGTACAAGTATTCGATCGAGGGGGTCGGATACCGAAAACGTGGCTGATCGTCGAGATTCGACGCGAAGCCTCTTCGCTTTAATTGCTTGGAAAGATCCGGCCGACGTCTACGCGGCGAAGCCATTAATTTCGTTTAATCGACCACTCTTCTTCTCGTTTCGAGCGAAAGTCTTACCATTCGTTGATGATTTCGAAACGAATGAAAAGAAACCCTCTAGGGACCGACAATCAGCCTCAACCGGAATATACGCAATTTATACTTTGTGCTTCGTTTTCAACGGCTTCGATTCGCGGGACCTCGATCCCATGGAGACCGCCTTTCTCCGTGGAAAATCAGAACGAATAACAGATATAAACGCGTCGGATAAATAATCAATGACAATTCTTTAAATTTTTAATATCCAATTTCTATAGACATTATATATGAACGCTACTTCGATACCAATCGACGGCCAGTCGGCCGAATCGATTGTTGCTCGATCTCTTCGATACATAACCTAGCAAGAACGGCATCGCAACGTGTAACGAAAATGGAGAACAGCGAACAGAAATGCCACGCACACGACTATACCGTGGATAAAATCGAAACGATCCAACAGGATTTCCATGTCGATTCAACGGAACAATATTTGATCCACTTACCTTTGAAATTGTCACGATTCCGTGGCCCTCATGGCAGCATCCAATCAGCGTCGATATCCGTGTAAGTCTCGTCGTTGCACGTAGTATCCGGCTGGTAAACAAATCACAGCAACCGAAAGGTACAATTCGAAATCCCTGCTCTCACGAACACTTGTTTTTTTCTACCGATACACGAAATAACCGACGCGTGTAGCGCGATCCTCGAGATCCACACACAATCGATACCGATCGAGATCGAGTCTGTCCACCGGTTTCACACGAACCCGCCATTCGACGACAATGGCGTAGTTTGTCGCGGGTAGAAGGAAAAAAAAGGAGATACGCGACGAGATCGTTGAACCGATCGCGAAACACAAGCTCGCGGAAAAAAGTCTCGCGAGGAGGACAGAAATCCCGAGCTCAACGTCCGCGTAGCGACTGGCGCCCGACACCTCCACCCTTCCGACAACACCCCGAGCAGCTCACTCACGCGACAGACAGAGACCGACTAAGGAGCCCGAAGGGAGCGATTGAGAAAGCTGCCACCGATGGCGCTAGCTACGGGACGAGGCAAAGAGTGGGGATTGGCTGGCTGGTTGGCACGAGAGCCTCCCTTACGCTGACTAGGCCGGCGGCCGTCGGCGGAAGGGGAACCGAGGCAAGGGTGAGCCTAGGGAGAGAAACCGCTAGTCTTGCCCCTACTTTCTCTCTTCTCCATCATACTATCTACTTCTCTTTTCCCTTCTGTTTCTTATCTTTTTACCATTTTCTTTATTAGCATAAGTAAATCGATAAGAATTAAATTTTACACGAGCAGTTAAGTGGGTGACAAGGGTGCCGTTATGTAATTACCGTCATTCAACGGTACGTATTTTTACCTCCTCTTTTCTTTCTCCTGTATATATTGTAACTTTACAGTTAATTGTTTTTATCGACGGTAAACTGCACACAATTCGGTGAATCGATGCCGTAATGGCAACGTAATTGACCGTTTACCTGTTAACTGGGTGAGTTTACGATCCAGAATGGGTCATTCTCCTTTTTTTAAGCGTTATAAAAGAACAAGTGATGTAGGTATGTCTTGCCTGCAATAAATACAATTTCCTCTATAATAAAATTGTACCGGTACATTTGAACTTCACAGCGTCGGTGCCATGCCTGACTGTTACTACTGTGTTAGCGCGTCGATTGGCACAGTGGAGAAGGTCATAAGTAGTATTTCGGTTGTATTTCGTTTGATAAGAAATCCAGAGTAGTAGTGGAAGTGTTTCTTTCATCTATTTTTGTATGCGCGATTCGGCAAAATTTCTTCTTTCACAGCAAACGCATTTCTGCTCGGTGTCCCCTTTTATGGTACTCCCACCCCCGCACGATGGTCAGCATCTTCGCAAGGTGGCTGCGCTTGCGCGCGGTCCTAGATTTCATCTCGTCTCCTGATTTTTCGTAATAAAAACGTTTGTCTCGGCGAGTATCTCGGCTGGCATATCTCTCGACGCGAACATCTTCTTTCTTCGCACGCCCTTACGGTTCAGGTTCCATCATCCTGGCCAGGATGATTCCTGACGTCCAGAAGGGCGTTGATCCGTCACGCGATCAGTGAGAGATCAAATCGAAAGTAGGACGGCATTGGCTCGGTCTTTTGCACCGATGGACAGTGAAACAACTTGCAAAGGGGACTCGTATCGATAAACTTCCAATAGATAGGGACAGTCGCATCGATGGAGTTTGAAGTTTCGCTGTGCCATTAGAAATTAAAACCCTGCCACGTTCGCTGCTATCCCGAAAGTATCGAAACAGTGTCAAAGCAAACAAATCAGAAGTTGAACAGTTCACAACATCCTCGTAAATTAGTGCTGAATTTTTGTTTACCATCAGATGTAACAAGTATGAAAGGGTGATTTTCACCCTCGCTCGATTCTACCCTATCTACTTTGACCCTGACTACTTTCTTCTCCTCTGTCGTCGTTCTTGCGCGAGATATCAACAGACAGAAAATTCCTTTTTAAAGCAACCCTGGAGGATAGGTTATTTGAAGTGAAGTATCAAGAGTTAATGGCTCTCTTGAGACTCTTTGCGCTGGTTCAACGTAACTTATCTTTTTCAAATTCTCATCAATCTACGACGAAACTTGGTAGAATCAACAAATTGCGATAAGTTACGCGATGAGATTCATTTCCTGCGATCTTTCGCGAAAGTCAAGTGTCGCTGACCTCAGCGCCGTTCAACGTGTTAATTAACTTTTTGGCTAACACGTTCGGGAAAGGGGAAAAACAGGTCACTGTTCTTACATCCTGTTGAATATTTTCAACGGGGAAAAAATGCAGCAGCCGGAATGTAATTAATTCTTAACGAGATAGATAGAAAAATTCTCGGTCCCGAGAAATTTCGAGCGTTCACGGAAACAATTTACAAACTCATTATATCCTTGTCATGGGGAAAGGGGAAAGAAAAGATAGATAAACAAAAAGTAAGTATACACGGAGAGAGTTTTCGGGTTAAAATTTGCATAGGAGATCACGTTTGTTTCAAAAGCAGTTATCACACCTACGTACCTAGATGCATGAATGAATATGTATTTTAGAGTACTTTGAGCAATTTCGGTTGAAAAGCTGTTCCATTGAAGTTACAGCTTTCGAATAAACCTAGTGTATCAACTTTGAAGGTCCTATCTAGGAACTTTGGATAAACGAAGAGTATCATTAGCGTTATTAGGTCAACGAGCAAATTCCTGACCTTTCCTATTTTCCTTCAAACTTGTCGAAATTCTATCGTATAGAGATTAAAAAAATTACTGATTCAACGTTTCTGGTATCGCGGATAGAACAGTAGTCGATAATCATTTTCTATGCGCTCGTTTCATTAGAGTTAATGAGGTCTGCTTCCGTTCCAGCTGGGTCAAGGAAGCTCTTGAAACGTAACAGAAGTTTTGTGGCGCTTTCAAATGTGTAAAGTCGAAAAATATCATTCTTCCTACGATACGCTATCTTCGTTCCGATATTTCAATATACATTAATGAAAGTCGTCGTGTTCGTTTCAATTTCGAAATTGCGTAAATATATATAAATCGCGGATCAAACAGAAAGCAGATTTAACGAGTCAAGTTGGAGAGCATTTTTTTTATTATTCAAATTCAACGAGTCCGGTTTCTCTATCGATTATCGTTCGTACAAACACGCGAAATTATTCTGTGGGTAAACGTTCTTTACAAGTCAAACAAAGTTTCATTTACTGGAAAAATAAAATTTCATAAAAACCAGACAATAGATACGTGTTTGTAATGCAAAATGAAATTGATTTCGCTTCTCCATGTTTGCCGGACAACAAAAATTTGTCTAACAATGTATTTAAAATAAAATACAGAAATGTAATCGAAAACGTTGCATGTTTTCAACGCAATCAAATTATTTGATTGATTTAAAATGAAAAATGTTAAGGGATATCGAAATGCTAAACAGATGCATGAAATGAATCGTAGATGTACTTTCGTTAAATATATATAAGGAAGATCGATCCATTTTTTTTTTTTTTTACGTTTATCCTTTGCCTCGTAAAGGAATAACGATCTCAAAGGACCCTTGACTTTTTCATCCATCATTGGATACTACGTTGAAGATAAAAGGAAACGAGTTCGATTAATGTGAAGAAGAAAGAATATCTCCTCTTATCGCCTGCGTATTGGATTGCGTTATATTTACTTTTTATCGTGAACCCCGTTAAATGAAAACGTTACATCGAACTGACAGTGAAATATCTTGTTGAATCCCTGTCGTAAACGATATTCGTTGTCCGTCATAAAAGCGAGAGAAATTAACGAAATTCCTTGCTTTCTTTTCTACTTGACCCATCGTGACCGAGTCTATTCGGTGAGAAAATTCTCGTTTGTTTTATGCTAGGTTTATGTTTATTTACTACGATCACGCTGTCCTCGCGTTAAGAATGTTACGCTCGTACACGTTGGTGATAATACGCGATCTGGAATTTGATAGAAGGGAGGCAAGTCGGATGGCAGGGTGGAGAATTAGCAAGTGAAATATATACGTAGCGCATTCGTAGGATCGCGGTGGATTAAAGTGTCAAGCCGGATTGTATTGGCCGAAAACGACAGGGCGGCTTCATTCGACGCGTGAATTATGTAGACGCCGGTGCACAGGCGCTGTTATCGAGGAAAATCGGGTCACAGTCGGGCGGTGCCGTCGATGGGGTTGGACCGAGAGCTAAGGCACGTCGAAATGTGCCCTTAATATTAATCCCTTCCGGCGCACACACCACTTACATGCCATCCTCTCTCTCCATCCTGCCGTGCGCTAAGTACGTACGCAGGAAATTCGGGATGATGTCGTAGTGGAAATTCCTCTCGTATCTCGACGAAATATTTCGCTCAAATTATTGACACTTCAAGCGTTTACACGTCTTTCTCTGTATCGTAAACAATTACACGATTCTTGAAACGGAAAGAAAATGAATCCTCCTCCGTCGAAAGAAAACTCGTAAAAGACAATGAACGGAGGGTATCGAGAGCAGGATAACCAAGGTGGTGAAACAATCCGTAGGTAAGATAATCATTAGATCCGTTGATGAACGGCAAACAATCGAAAGTTCCCAATCGAGGCAGACACGTGAAATCGATAGAGCTTGATTCTCGAGCGGACATTGTTTCTCTCTTGATCCTGTTCACCGTCGGATCGCCTATGGCTAGGGTTTCTAGATTGAAGGCTTATCGTTAGCCTCGTCGTCTGACAGCATATCCTCTCTCGAAATTAGACATCAGGACAGCCGGCTGTCTGGTCCGATTCCGTCTCCTGTCGCCATTGCAAATCCATTCTCGTCCTTTGGTATCCTTCCACCTTCTCCTCTTTGTCTCTAGAATCTAGAGGTGTGACCTGGATACTCTACCGATTTCTCTCAACGTTCACGACGCTGAAAATCGTGGCGGAAAGGAAACGGCTGGTAGAAACAAGATGATCGAGGTAGACGTCGTAGAGGAGAATGACGGTCAGCAGGCTTTTTGTCCCGAGGAAAAGAGACTCTGCGGTATCGGAAAATAGGATGGAGTGGAGTAGCGGAGCGTGGACCGGGTTTATCGGGAACCGAGACGAAGTAAATCCCGGAAAATTAGTGTCCCGCGGTTCTTTGCCGTTTGTTGCTGTTCCACCATCCTAGACGAATGATGTTTCGCCGTCATGGCTGATTTTTCACCTATTATTTCATGTACTGGGTGCTTCAGAAGGGGTAACATTTTTCTGTTACGTTTTCGATACGTATTTCGTTTGTTCTCATTAATCTGCTGGAAAGGTGAGCGCGGTTTCTCGCGGAAAATCGACGAACGGACGAAATACGCGAAAATATTCGCACAATTTTTAATTTCCACGTTACGCTGGTCGTTGCTTTCGCGATGAAGAAGCACCCGAACGTAACGTTATCGTTGCCACGAAATTGCCCCACTCGTTTCGTCTGACGGACTGGCAAAATAAATTTTCCGAGAAACACGCGAATCG